GAATGCTCTTAACATCCCGATAGCAATGAATATCTTGAAGTGCTTTGACAAAACATCCATAAATAAATGTCATGTGGAAGCCTTAATACTGTAAAAAGCACGACCAATCATTTTAGCCGGCCCGGCTAAAATAACTGGATGGCCTACCTGCCTGTCAGCCTTCCATCTGTGCACAAACTTATCTCGTGCCCTCATTGGTCATGTGCGCGTTCGTGTGTGTTGGAGGAGGGGCTCTGTAAGGAAGTGGCAGATTTTTTCCGGCTGTGTATTTTAAAATTCTAGCGCACTCGAGCTGGTTTCTCCAAAATTACCTACCCCACCTTTAACAACAAAATAGCCTGGAGCAAAAGTAAAGGCACCCTTGATGTTTCATCTAGTAAGGGTCAGACAAAAAGAAGAAACATTTATGAGAATTTATTTAGAAACGTTACCATTTGAAATGACAGTGTGACAAGTTACCTGGTCCCTCTTTACGTGCTGCGCTAAGTCTGTCAATAATCTTATGACCTAACCAGCCTTTTTCAGGATTAGCCTGAGAGACTTTGGCTGTGACATAGATACAGGGAATAGTGAGGCAGCGCACAAAGAAAACTGAAGATTGAGAGGAAAGCAGGTTACATTTTCCACGGTTCACACACAACATTCAATTTCATTTGGCGAAAAACTTCCATTTTAAGAATTGGACAAAGGCTCATGAGATAAAAGGAAAATGAGACCAAGCACTGAAACATGTAACCATTGTTCAATAGATCAATGAGGCAGAGCAGTGCCTGCTGGGAATGCTCGGGCCCTATTACAGTAACATGGCCTCTAATCCAATAATAGAACAAGGCCAATTCTAGAGTAGTTCTGGACCAGGGAACATATTCAATATTGGGCCAGAGCATGTCGGTAGCCTACTTTTAACTCCAGGGCCAAACTGGGATGACACAGGAAAGGTAATTAGTCCACCTGCTTCCTTTGGTTTACATCTGATCATAGCTGTTTTACTAACACACATCCATTCATGTTAATATAACAAATGTGATACCATTGGGCTTCATCTTAGCAACTTGTTATCTCCAGATACTTGTTTTCTATTTCTAATGGGATGTTAAAGCATATTGTTCCTGACCTAAAGCAAGGCCACTTGGCTCTGCACTTGGCACCATATTACACAGCGCAGCACAATAGAAGCTTATCATATGACAGTGGCTCTCACTCTCTCTGACACCACACACGGCCTCAAGAGATGCGGAGAGGGTCGAGGGCGGCTGGAAAATCAATCAAGTTGTTTTCAAAAAGCTGACAGCAAAAGAAATCTGAGGCATTTTGAGGTTGGGGTTATTTAGAGGAATATTTGAGTGATGTGTCTTGTCACACCAAATTATTCATCTACACCTAACCATCCAAAACAATGGATTTGCTTGTGTGACTTCAATACATTTGTTTGTAGGCTTTCAGTTTGAGTTCATTTTGAGTCAGTACATTCACACTTTGCACCCATAGAAACCTTTCTGTAGCATCTTGACCACTTTTCTGTACAAGCCAGTTTTGTTTATCTTTGTATTTAATCTGGATCTCTTCCTTCTGCTATGGCATTTGTTCCAGAATAATTACCAATGTGTCTTATATACTAATATTTCACATAAAAGTAAACAAAAGCAGGGATTTTATTTTCAGCCGACAGCTGTGGATTTTGTGTAACTAAATGTTAGCACCAGTTTTTTTTTTAAATGTAAAAACGTATTGCATTTACAGTGAACTTGGCACGCTAACAATTTCAGCTTATATTTATTGCAGAGTAATGCAGTTGAATCCATGTCATACAGTGTGTACTCATGTTGATAGGTATGTAGAGGTTTTAAACATTTTAAATATTGAGTATCTCCCCCCCCCCACACACACAAACAATCCAGCACCAGTCACTTTTACGCTGCTATGGAAATGTTTGCACTATGAACACCATCTTTTGTTTTATCCTGCTTACTTGAAGTAAACGGTTATTTTGTGGGTTTTTTTGGTGATTATTGAGTGTTCTTATATTTTAATGTGTTATTTTATACCTCAGGACTGTGAATATAGATAAATAAAGTTGTCTTTGACTTGACTTAAAAACACACACACACACACACACACACACACACACACACACACACACACACACACACACACACACACACACACACACACACACACACACACACACACACACACACACACACACACACACACACACACACACACACACATTCCAATGCTACTCGTCTCAACTGGCCCTACAAGTGTTAAAATATAATTAATAGTGGCTTCTCACATATATATATATATATATAAGTATTGATCTATCTCAATCTCTCATATCATCGAGCAGGATCGGACCTGATCTAAAGCATACAGTCTGTCACACACGGACACAGTTCAGAGTGACGTCATCACAGGGTAAATGGGGCTGTGGTGGCTGGCGGGTGGAAAGAGTACACTGGGTATATTTCACACAGCCTGATATTTAGGCGATGCATGCAGGGTTTCAAAGTGAACTGAGAAAGTATTTATGATTGGGTTCCACAAAGTAAGTACATTGTTAACGAAAGCTAGTGTGTGTGTGTGTGTGTGTGTGTGTGTGTGTGTGTGTGTGTGTGCAATCTTTCTTCATTTTTTTAAAATGGCATGACACTCATCAACTTGTGTATAAGAAGTTCAACCGTTATGCATCAGCCACAATGCAATTTCCGACCTAGGGATGAGACTTACTTTTTCTTTTTCGACAACGGAAATTTGTTTAAAATGAAATTTACCATACACAATGACAAAATAAGAGGGCTGCATACCCTCACTTTGTTCTACCGCCTTTGTTTTGAGGACAAAACTACTAAGATTAGTTTAGGGTTTTATCCAACAATTGTGAAATCTTTTTTTTTTCCTGTTGGTTTTTGTATGTTGTTAATCCTAGTGTGTATAAGGTATTGTGTAATAGTGTTTTAGTTATTATTAATTTAGTGTGAATGATCACCGAGAGGACTAAAGGGTAAGGTAACTGCAATTAAATAAATAGGGGAAGATAAATATGTGTAGTTATTTGGGGCGCTTTAGAGGTAGGTCCTAAAATTTCAGTGTGAGTGTATTTGACTTGGGGTAATTAACTTTGGGCGTATTTGGGTCCGTGTTTGGGTAACTCAAATGTCCGTGTCATCCTTATACCACAACTACGTCCTAATTGAGACCTCATCCCAACGAAGTATTTACGAAGCAGAGTAATGGGGAACAAAATTTTTCTGGTCAGTTTTTCCACTATCAAGCCATAACACGCTATTCTCCTATCAAATGACACCAAACCTAAGCCATAAAGTTTACTAAGGGAGGAAGAAGCACTTTTTTTTTTTCTCCTCCCCGACCTAACTAAGGGCCCGAGTTAGGGGAGAGAATTGTTCGAAACCTCTGTTCCTGCGGTCCTACCTCCCTATACGAATCGAGAATTTTCGGGGAAAAAGATCGGTTGAAAATACCGAAAAGTATTCTTGTTGTTAGTTCCATATTTTGTTATTTACTGTGTAATAATGTCAACTTACAACTTAACTCCGTAAACGGTTGTTCGAGATAACAACCTAAACATCCTCACAGCCGTGCCAAAAACAGAGGGAGGCTACTTTTGGCACTGTGGACGTAATAACCGGCGACGCATTATTCTCCCGGAGTGGACTCCCGGTCTTTTTAAACGGTTTGAAGTGAAAAGGAGGAAGAGATTCGTGTGCATGAGTTTTTTGTGTGGGCGTGCGTCCTGTGCACGGTCATCAATGACAGGTGAAGCCCCAAACCGGAAAACAGTCGAACTGAGGTGGTGGTTGGTTTCACCTATATACGATTGTCGGAATAAAGAGTTACAGTCACCCACACTTCTCCCAAACAAAAACTAGTGGACGCGTAACTCTCCCTTGTCCCACTCTTCGAAGTTTGACTCCCGGTGTTATCCCGTTTAAGTTTTTGACTGCTACAAGCGGCCCTCTATTTTTACAAAGACATTAAGTCTTTTTACAAACCTCGTTTAAATTTATATTTCTTTCATCAACAACCTTGTCCTTTGAAACTGAAACATAAAATGTCGTTGTAGCTCNATATCTTATTTGAACTATTAACATTTATTTATTCGTGCATTTTTTTTAATCTCTCCAGTTTAAAACAATATTTTTGGTTTACTGTCCTATAGTATACATTGAAATGATTTCAAACCTGTTTTATCCCAATAATTATAAAGGAGTGCCTTGGAAATATTTGTTTACATAAATTGTGACCAAACCATTTGAGACCCACTGAGATAACTTAGACTAAAGTGAACTATACACTAAACTAAACTAAACTAAACTAAACAAAACAAAACACTCAAGAGTCCTTTACCTCACTGAGCTGTAGTTATCAGCTTCTCAGTCTGACTGGAGAGGACTCTCCCTCCACATTATTGTAGAAACGTCTTCTTCTAATATCCGTGAGAGCAGCTAGAACCAGATTCTAATAACAACAGCGCCGGTACCGGTGCACCCTCCCTCTCTCCCTCATTCGCTCCCAAGCTCACTCGCACTTTGGCTGTGAGCTGCGAGCGCCAGATAAGCCAACATCCCCCATTTTCATCACTTACAGCGCCCATCGTACAGGGCAAATGAAAAGTGTAACCGGGGTCAAAAAAGGGTGTTACATTTACTTAATTATGAATGTTGTTACATCAAGGCCGAAAATTAGGATGAGCACCAACGGTCAAAAATGTTTTTCTACCAGCGCAGCGCCTCCCCAGATCTGGCGCCCTAGGCGAACATCTATAACGCCAGTGCTACGGGCCGGCCCTGGCTACAATGGCTACAAGTATGATAAATATGTTTCTGCCATGGTTTCAATCTAATTGAGAACTATCAAACAATCAATGAGTTTGGTGGTAGCGTGGGATCATGGGAGTTTGCCTTTGTAGTCATGTTCTCACAGTTAGGATTCCTTCAAGTCTTACTGGCATAGCTTAACTATGTCGGCAGCCAGGCTTAGCTAAAGATTAATCAGCATACAGTATCATTTGAATGAGTAAACTTTAACTGACTCACCATGCATATTACTGGAGTGACATACTTCAAACAATACTTTATCAGGGATGTTGGCTTGTAGCCGATCATGTCCTCTATGTTTTCGTAAAACCGGTCTGCACCTGTAAATAGATTGAAATGCTTCAATAAGGGAATTGAACATTGCACTGAAGAAACCTCACAGACGCTTTTTGTTTATTAACTCACCGTATATCCATCCGATACAGAAAGACTGCAGACTGGCAAAGAGAAGGAGAGTCATCCCACTGCAGGCATAGTAGTCAAAAATCTGGAAGATGTACAGCCCACCCTGTGTGCGAGACATCAGAGTTGTTGTGTTAGGGTCTTTCAACATGAGAACAAAGATTATTGTTAAAGAAGTGGCTTGACAGGATCTTACTTCTGTGATCATCACTAGGCCGACGAAGAAGCTAAAAACACTGATGGCAAGGAGAAGAAGTTTACGTCGATGGCCAACATGGAAGAAGGAAGGGTTTGTGTCAGAAATCGCTGTAACGATGGCTTCCAGTCCAACAAACTGAAACACAGAGCCCACAGTTACGCACTAACTCTACATACCGTTAGCATCTTGAGGGCACATCTCTTTCAATACAGCACAATCCTCTGAACAGGTAGTTTTATTATAATGATTAAGGTGATATATTTTGTAATCTGGATTCCTCTGGATCTGGTTCTGCAGCGAAACACACATAGTGAGAAAGTATTGAGATACACAAGCCAACATTTCCTCTCATATTGGTAAGTGCAGGAAGGAGTTCATGATAATGTTGAAATGTTCTCAAAATAAATTTACATTTTTAATTTATTTTTCTGCATCTGAACCCTCAACCTAAATTACGATCAAGACATTACTAGGTAACCCTCGCCCTATTGAAATTAATTGAAACAAGTTCAGTGGCCATTTGATACTGGCTTGTATCATCTGTTAGCTTGTTTTTTAGGTATCCTGGTTACGGACCCACAGATATTCAAACATACAAAAAAAAAAGCAGCGAAAACATGAGTAGAGGAATAAATGGATCTATTTGTAACTGTCAGACAACCGCAGAACTTTAACAAAGAGCAAGAGATCATAAAGCCAAATCCCCTACAAGTTCATTAAGACTATTATGCAATCTATGTGTAATAAAGTAAAACATGTATATATTTTAACCAGGTGAACAAAAGACCAATATTTTGTAATTGTTTTTGATGATTATTCAAAAATATAACATCTCCAAATAATATATATCTACTGCATATTCATGTATTAAAGAGAGAAACAAAATGTCTGATTCTTGTTCTCTCAGTGCTATGGAAGGGTCTGCTTACCTCACTGTCCAGTCCCAGTAGGATAATCATTACAAAAAATAAAATCGCCCAGAGCTGAGGAAAAGGCATCATGGCGACCGCTCGAGGATAGGCAATGAACGCCAAGCCAGGACCTGCCGTAAGAATTTGATGGTCAAAATAAATAATGGATTTTTTTCTGCTGTGGAGTCAAACTAAAATGTCACATTTATAGAATGAGGAGCATTTTGTGCTATTGCTGATCCAAACCTAAAATGCTATTCAATTTATTTTCTTATTGTCTGATTAATAACAGTTTTCTACATTCTCACCTGACTCTGCCACTTTTGATATGTCTGTGTTCTGCTCATATGCCATGAATCCAAGTGCAGAGAAGATGGCAAAACCAGCTACAAAACTGGTCCCACTGTTTAGAAGGCACAAGTACACACAGTCCCTAAAAACAAAAAGACACAAATATATTTAAAACTCCATTACTCTGTATTAGGGCTGCACGATATATCGTCTCGTGACGATAATCGCGATACGCGCATGCGCGATTTTTAAATTTAATTTATTGTTTTATTATTTTAAAAATGTAGGCAAATTAACTCAAACACGTCATGTTACAATTATTTTGCTGCTTGCTACAAAAGGAAAACTTGCGCGGCTCTCATGTCAGGGGTACTTGAGTGAGTGACATGCAGGCTCTGCACGCACAGCAAGCCACCAATCACAATCAAATCTCCAAAGCAAACGGACCCCGTGATTAAAGGTAAAAACACTGAATAAAGTAGTTTCATGTGTTCCTCCAGGGTAGTTTGGCGCTGCTAACCGAGCAAGCTCAGCTTGTCGCTCTGATAACTTAAGATCCAGACGTCCATGACTAAAATCCTTCATCCTGTTAAATGTAGTTTAAAAAATACCAATTGTATAGCATTAAAGTTCAAGAAAGGAAAAAACTGTCTTTTCTTCAATTCCTGTATGTTTTCATAAAAAAGTCTGATAAACCCTGAGGTTATATACAGCAAGTGTTATCGTACCTAGGATTTACTCGCGAAGTCGATGATGTGTCCCCTGGATGGACATTACAGGCTGCCTCAGGCAGGTACAACGTGTAATCGTGTCTGGTGTGCGACAAACATTTACCGAAGTACAAACTGTAACGGATTTTCGGTCGTTGATTGAAAGGTGAAAAGGTGTCCATCACATAAAATGACGGTGTAAAGGTATAGACTACCGACCACCCATGACGACCACGCACCTGAATTGCAACGTTCCCCGGTATTTACCCTACGTTCAAGATGGAGATGGGTCTAGGTAGGGCGAGTCGCTAGGTGTCATACTGTGCGGAAGTGGCGAAGAGAACAAAACCACCATACACCGAGAAGAATTAGATGCCCACTAGGATAGGAATGTTTGTTGTAATAGCCGTATGTTCGTAAGTACTTTTAATTCTATAAGGCCTCTATTTTAGTCTTTTGATATTCGTGTTCACACTTCGAAGGAAAAACAAATAGTATAATAACGTATGTTGAAATTACTCTTTTATGTATCCATATATACTTCAAATAAAGGTTATGTGGTACGTTTTCTCTTGCCCATTAGGCTGGCAAGCCCTCAAACTGGCCTAAGCAATTAATATGTACAAACTTTACCGTAGTGTTCAAGGTTCACATGAGCAAAACCGTCTAATGAACGAAAAGACTACAGGGTATACAGAAGTCGTCACATTTTCTAATCGTTTTGTTTCACAAGTCTATGTCACCTATGAGTCTTTGTCATATGGACGGAAAAGTATACATAAATAACGTCCACCAGTTGCACAAGAAAAAAACAGAAAGTCCGACACCTACCTACGCCGTGTGTTTATTAAAATAAGGAGTACGATAAACGTAACCCACAGAAGACGCGACCGTTCAATATTGTTTATACTTTGTTAACAATGTTCATTTCAATTTAATTTTACGAACAACACACAAAAAGTCACACCCATGCACAACTAAGTGGTGGGCTTTATTTCTTTTGCAGATTGTGATCCAACGGGTCTCCGGTCGTCGAAGTCATCGCGGTCACTAAAGTTATCGTTTTGCCAGAGACCTCTATATGTTCCTTCGCAAAACTCTGCAACGGTCTTGTAGACATTACGGGTAAAAGTCCGTCGTGTAAAACCCATCAAAATGTGTTTCCTTTGTGTCTCACCACCTTCACTTCAAAGAATTTTTTTACGAAAGTTCCTAATGCCTCGGTAAGATATGGAAATGGTTCGGAGAAATCCGGTCAAAATCCTACACTACTCACTGGCCACAAATACATTTATGTATCATCCCGACGGTGCTATAACCTTTTTTGACTGTAAGCGCAAAAAAAAAAGGGGGACGTCTATNAGGATGGTTTGCGAGGAAAAAAAGGTATTTTCTTAAATTCCTGTATGTTTTTATATCGCAATATATATTGCAGGGGGGGGGGGGAAATCGCAATGTCAGTTTTTTTCCAATTTTCGTGCAGCCCTAGTCAGCAGTGAATTTATTGAGATGAAAAATATATGAAAATGTATAGAATGAGGAATTTTTTATCAGGGAAAAGGAACTAATGTCATTTAAAGGATATAACAAGTTAATTTGTCTTTTTCGTATTGGAAAAACTATATCATACAAATTATTATTCAGAGTTGAGTATTTCTGTGCTACAAAAACATTAATTGTACATCACAGGCTGAAAAGATAGTGCAGAGAAAAAAGCCAACTGTGTATCAAAGGTTTTTGTCAGAGTCTGACCTTTCCATCAAAATATGATGTACAGTGTAGTTATATTTTTGTTTATTGTTATTTTACAGTCATGTCACAGCCTTCAGGAGCACTCTAGTCCAGACCAGCGGAGGCAGCCCTACATCGTGGCAGTTGGGACCACAAGGGACAGCATCCATGACTACTATATTGCATTCGATGGTGAGCTCCTTCCCTGCAAGGCCAAGTCTTCGCTGTCTGCTTTTGATGAACTCTTTTAAAAAAAATTATGTGTTCGGAATCAAGTATGACCAGGCCTTAAATGGCCTTTACACATTTGTGCAGACCACGATCTTCAACATCGATCTAGGTCTAGGAGTCAAAGACCTTAGGGCTAAGCTCCTCAACTGATGTTAAGATGCTTTGTTTGCAAGTCCACCTTTGTCACCATTCAACAGTTGGTCCGTCATCTCAAGTTCACACATGCATTTTATCCTGGGAAGAAGTTTCAATTGATGTGTGACCAAAAAGGATGCCACCAGACATTTTGCACCTTTTCAGGCCTCAGGAAACATCTCCATAACAAACATAGTGCTGATCATCATAGTCTAGATGAAATCGGCAATAAACCCGCCACTACTTCAGTTGATGTATCTGATTAGCAAACAGTGTCAACTTTAATCCCAGAGCAACCAGATGATTCTCAAAGCTGTAATGAGACCAGGCAACATACCCAAGAAATGTGTGCATCTCTTATTGCAAAACTCCAAGGCTCTGGTGTGGCTACTAATGTCATAAAGACTGTTGTTGAAAATATGGAGGAGCTTGTACAGGAATTGCATTCAAATGTCAAAGAAGATGTTCTAAAATTACTCCCCAACGATGAGGACATGAGAACAAAATTAAACGGTTATTTTGACAGCCTTGAAAATCCGTTCAGTAAACTGAACACTGAGACAAAATGGAAAAAACATTTAAGTGAAAAATTGAGTTTTATAGAACCTGTTGAGGTCGCCCTAGGAGTGAGGTATGACACCAGAAGGAATCGAACCACTGGCACATATGATCAAGTTCCCATAACGGACACATTTGTGTACATTCCTCTATTGGAAACTTTCAAATTCATATTCGCCAACCAAGAGATCTGTAATCATATTGTCAAGCCTTGTAAGGAAACAGGGGTTTATAAAGATTTCTGTGATGGGAACTATTTTAGGGAACACCCACTATTCTCTGAAAAACCAAACGCTCTCCAAATACAGATATTCTACGATGATTTTGAAATCATCTAGGATCGAAGCACGGTATCCACAAGGTTGGAAGTGTATACTTTATTTTACGAAACCTATCTCCAAAGGAAAATTCAGCTCTTATGAATATTCATCTTTTGGCACTTTTTCAGACTGAGGATTTGAAGAAGTATGGATTTGATGCTATCTTGGAGCCCATTGTACATGATCTGAAAGTCCTTGAGAGTACAGGAATTAAAGTTCCTTTTTCTGATGAACCAGTTCATGGGACAATTGCGCAAGTACCTGGGGACAATTTGGGATTGCACACGTTACTTGGGTATGTTAAATCATTCAGCGCAAACCATTTTTGCCACTTTTGTCTAGTAGATAAACAGACCTCACAGACAGTTTTCAGTGATGATGATCACAGAATAACATTGCGCAATAGAGCACTGCATGCTCAGCAATGTAATGACCTCATGGCAGATCCTACACTGCCATCAACATTTGGAGTTAAGCGAACATGTTTACTCAATGACCTTCAGTACTTTCATGTTTCTGACAATTATGCTGTTGACATTATGCACGACATATTGGAAGGAGTGGGGAAATTTGAGCTGAAGTTGCTTTTTGGTTACCTCTCAAACAATAAAATAATATCCAAGATGGATATTTGTAACCGAATATACGCATACAATTATGGCTTTGTTGAGCGAAAAAATAGAGCAACCAGAATCCACTTGGAACAGACTTGAAACAAAATTGGTTTCAATGCCATTCACACATTTTGCTTAATCCGTCATGTTCCCTTGATACTTGGAGATGTTTTACAAGAAGAAAATGAACACTGGAGACTTTTGCTGCTTCTGTTGCAAATTATAAACATAATATTTTCTCCAGTCATTACTGATGGCATGACAGTATGTCTGAAGCATCTAATTGTTGAACATCATACACTTTTCAAAGATCTTTACCCACATCGCAAATTGATCCCTAAACATCACTTCATGACTCATCCGAAAAATGTGTCCAATTATCCATGTTTGGGCAATGAGATTTGAAGCGAAACATAGGTTTTTCAAGAACACAATCAACAATTTCAAAAACATAACAAAGTCGTTTGCCAGGATTTGCCAGTATTTAGTCAGATAAAAGACATTATTGGTTTTGATGGAACATTTTTCTTATAACAGACGACCTTGAAACACTTTGTTTTGCAGAGCATTTCCATTCCTTTCATCTTGTACTGGGAAATTATGCAAATGTTTCCATGCTGAAGGTTGAGGAGTTGCGCTTCTTTAAGCCATTTGATCTGCAGACGAGTTATGGTTTTGACAGAGATGACCAGTATGTGGTTCCTGTTCATGTGTTTGTATAAAACCAGGTTAATACTTAAGTTTATGTAGGCACTGTAATTTTCTGTGGTGTTGGTACTGTATTCCACGTTTAATATGGTATCTAATCAGACAACTTTTCTGATTAGACACCATCTTAAACGTGGAATACAGTACCAACACCACAGAAAATTACAGTTAAACTTAAGTATTGACCTGGTGTAGGTTCGTAAAATGTCAAACAAAGTAAGACTGGACTTACATTTATGTACAGTTAAGTGACAAGTTATACAAACATGGACACATGAACACTTGTCACTTAAAGAGCCTGTGACACGGGTTTCACCCATCATCCAAACCCATCAATTTTAGTAAATATTTTCCCCTTGAAACCGTTACTGAACTGATTTGGGATATTTATACTTTGATAACCATTAATCTCCCCTTCGATGTTGACCATATTCTGGATCTTCTTGGGGATTCTTCAAATCCCGCCAAATTATGTGTGACGTAATTGCGGGCCAAGAGCTCCAGCTGCACCGTTCCGGATCCTAGCATCTGCATGCAAACGCACGATGGCGCACACAGCTGCAAGCTCAGACAGCGATGACAGTTTAATTTTGAACGTGTCTGAGAGCTCATATGAGGCTGAAGGATCGGTTTATGTTTTATCTGTTAGAAGTTTAGGAATTAGGTGCGTCAATATGGGCGATAATACGGTCATGTAGCCAGTGGTGGACTGGGACTAAAAATCAGCCCGGGACTCTAGACCTGCCCTCTTCGGTACCGCTAGTAAATTGTCAACGGGGGGAGTGGGGGAGTGACTTATCCGACTGGCCCACTTCGGTACCGGCCCATCGGGATTCGTCCCGAGGGGAACCTCGCTGTGGGGAAACGGTGGACCTAGTGTCCCGATCGGAGTGGGAATAATAATAATCATAATATGTGCATTTTATCCATTAATTTCCCCAACATTGTGGTAAAAAAAACACACGTTTAATCCATGTCGGTGTACTAAAACTACAAAAAGCATCGGTTTGTTTTTTCATCAGGAAATGCAGACCGGTTCAAACAAAATATTTTTAAATCATCCTCCTCATGATCATTTTTTGAACCGGTCTGCATTTCCTGATGAAAAAACAAACCGATGCTTTTTGTAGTTTTAGTACACCNCACACACACACACACACACACACACACACACACTCACTCTCACACACACACACACACACACACACACACACACACACACACACACACACACACACACACACACACACACACACACACACACACACACACACACACACACACACTGTCACGATCTGTCTGTGTTGTGTTTGGTCTTGTCTAGATCTGTCTTTGGTTTCCTGTCTGTGTGTTCCCTCCTACCTGATTACCTGATTGTTTTCAGCTTGTGCCCCTGTGTTTTCTCCTCCCTCCTCACCTGTGTCTTGATTGTTTCCTTAGTCCTGTGTGCATTTAGGTTCTGCGTTTTCTGTTAGTCTTTGTGAGATCCTTGTTTGTTTTTGACTGTGTTCACAGGGAAGAGCTCTGTATTTTTCTTGTAGCCTTTAAATCAAGGTATTTCCTGTTAAATCTGTGTTTGGGTCCTGCCTGCTTTGCTCAACCCTGACAGAAGGATCTCAAAAAGACTAACAGAAAACGCAGAACCTAAATGCACACAGGACTAATGAAACAAACAAGAAAAAATACCTTGTCAACCTGCAGGTGGCGCTCAATGAGAAACAGGTTTCATTTTCTGTCGATTGCAGTATCAGGTTTTCTTTTTGAACCATATGGATGAATATCCTAACGACCTAAATGGTCTAAAGTCCACTATAAGTAACATTTTCAGAAACTTTTATTTATATACATGTTTTTGCTACATTGTACTTCTACACCACTATAATTCAGAGGTGAATGAAAGTGTACTTTTACTTTACTAAATGTATTTAATAACTTTTACTTTTCAAATGTTGGTTAATGATTTGAATTATATTTAACACTTAAATAAGACTTCAAATCCACAACCTACCCTGCAGTATATATAAAGTTATTAAAATAAAAATGAGTAGGCTACTATTGGTACTTTAAGTACATTTCTATGCTAATTATTTTTGTACTAGAGTAACATTTGGATTGTAGGACTTGTAACAGAGTTATTTCTACACATATGTACTTCTACTTTTACTTAAACACAAGATCTGAGTAGTTCTTCTTTCTACTGTACAGCATCTCTCTCTTTACAGTGAGACCCACGTGGCCTCCATGAACAGTCTCCGCCTTTTCATTCAAAAACCCATAGCACCCGCCCCCTCCTCCCTCACTCTTTCCCCCCCGGTTCTCATTGTCATACAAACACGGCTCTCTCAAGCCTCTACTCATGGGCTCATTAATGGTCAGAGCTGGGAAGAGCACTTGTCCTGGGGACACTGGGAGATCAAGACTTGTATTTCCCCTTAAAGGCGCCAGATGAATCCCAGCTAGGGCTAAATGGAAGAATAACTACACAGACTACAGACGTGAAGCGACCTTAACAGGTACATACTAGCTCTTGAGGTCACAATCAGCTTTTTAATATATTTGATTTGTGGTTATTTACACATTTGCGAATGAGCATTACTTGGGTCTGGGTTCTTGAAGATAAAACAAATGGTATCAGGTCAGAGACTGTTGGGCATGTGTGGTTGCACTTCTGCTTTGCGCCTGTAGCTGTGTAATGTAGGCTAAAGGTTACTGTCTACGCTGCACAGAGCAGCTATTTCCCCTGTTCAGTGAGTTTAGTGTGACACCGCAGGCTGTGGTTATTGCTGCTGAAAGCTCACATAGTTATGAACAAATGCATTTGTCTTGTGCAAATATTTGAACAGATGTATACAAATTAACTCTTTAAAATATTACTTTTCCAAAGACTAATATTAAATCATACAGTATTTTGCTATGATTGATTTCAGAAAATACAAGCTGTAAGCTATGAATACATGTGTTTCCCTTTTCAACATCTTGAGTTTATTTGCACACTTAATTAATCTCGGAAAAACAGATAATCTAAATTGAAAAGTATGTATCACTGAACCCATTCCTCCCTGTTGATGCTAGACAGAGATACACAAAAAGGCACTTACTCATCAAGTAAGAATAACTGAAATATGTTTCACAACAGCCCTCTTCATGTTCTGACTTGTCAGTATTTGACCAGGGGGTTCGACTTGTAACTTTCCAACGGTCACCTGAAAGTTTTGGGAGCAACAAACTTTTCTTCTGTCCTACTCGTCTTCCAGGAATTATAGTCCTGTGCAACTAAATTGAGATAGTCGGTCATTTCCTCCATCCACAGGCAGACAAAATATATTCCAATGGGTTTTTTTTTCAAGCTGAAACATAAGACTGGTGATCATTAATAGTACACTTCTTTTAGCCACATTAGTCATGGCTTAAGGGATGGCAGTGTACCTCTTTGGTCTGAACTGTTGGATTGAAATACTGAAGGCTAAACGTCTCCCAGTTGATTCATCCTGCTGAATTTGGTGATTACCACACACTTCGTCTTTTGCCACCAGCAGGATAATATTTCAATTTCCCCAATACATTGTTTAAGAACAAAACGTTATGTCAGCCACATTGTAGACCTTTGGTTTTAATGCTAATTATTGAAACATAGGCTTGAAACCACCACAAACTAACACAGTGAACAGGGTACACATAATAACTGTATATCATTAGCATATTAACATTGTTATTGTGAGTATGTTAGCATGTTGCTGTAAGCATTTAGCTCAAAAGACCACTGTGCCAAACGATAACTTAACAATAATCTAAACAACAAATTCTATATTTGAAAAATACAAAATAAAAGGTTTATGCTACTCCAAAAGAAGATATTATAAATAAAACCTTATTTTGTTTTGCATTTCTGTTCAATTAGAGTGTTGTCTTCCTGGACAACAATGACGCCATTTATAGGACATTAACTGAATAGATGCAGTTGATATCTTGAGCAGTGTTACAGTCTTTTTCCTGAGGTCATCCTTTACACTGAGGGGTGGAATTTCTCTAGTGAATTGGAACTGGAAGGTCAGACAGGGACACCACCATTGACACTGAAATGTTTGTGAGATACAAACACTCAGCCCTCCAGCCTCAATAGCACTGGTATGTTTTCTCACATACCAATGCCAGAAATATCATTTTCAGAGAGCAGAAACAAACTTATTTGTACAACATTTTGTATAGCCATGTCTGAAGTCATGCAATGAAAAGCTGTGCTGGACATCCAGAATTAAAATTAGAGCGAAAAGTCTGCTATCATAGAAAGGTGAAACAATTATCAGTCCAATAAGGGCCACACTTATTGAAAATCTTTCAGGTTTGTGTACTTAAAGTGACAAAAGTAATTTTGAGAATAATGAATGAAAGAAAAAGGAAAATATAGGAGGTACGGAAATGGTCAGATGCTGTCCCAAATGTGGAGTTGGAAAGGTGTAGGGTGTTTTTTTCAACCATCCAACAAGCCCTTTTGAAAAAGCATATTGATAGCTTTAAATTCACCCAAAAACATACAAAATGGTTACACCAATCTCATACAGCGTGTCCACACTGAGCTTTTGGGGGTGCACAGCAGACGTCAATGAAGAATATAACTTGTTAGACTCTTAGGCAACGGTCCCTTGGTATCAGGAAGTTAAATGAGAAGGTAAAGGTAAATTGTATGAGAAGGCAAACAGAACTGAAGCTTATTTGAATGTACCGAACTTCCAAACTGTATCCAGCATCTGGTAGTGTGACAATGTGACTATACCACAACATTTGAATTTATATGGCAGACAGCTTTTACACATACACTTATATTTCGGTACCACATTTGGGGCTCATTATTGTCTTGCTCAAGGAAACTGACAAGTCTATATTGAGCTACGGTTTCTTACTATATAAGATATAGTCTGTAACATAGAAAAGGTAGTATTACGTAATGTGTAAATTACACTAGACTTTTATATATGTTTTGCATATAAAATAGCTTTTCATTCAGTAAGCTCTGCATTTTATATTAGTATGAACACCTGCATATTACCTCTATTTAAGTATATATTATACATTCTAAACGCCTGCACCAAAGACTGCCTTTTTTGCAGGGCCTGTGTTTGAAACTTTATTTGAAAAGTTATTATAACAATGTGGTATTTCTACTTCTACCCAGTTTCACTTTCAAAAGATTCAGATATGACTCCCAGGGACATTAGCATATCTCGCCTTTTGAGAGCCAAGTATTTAAGATGAGATAAGGTGAACTGGCACCTGTAGCAACATTAGATCTTTGCAGAGGCAAACAGGACTACTTTGGTGTAACATATTTTACCCAGACAGAATAGAAAAAAAAGACAAGTAGTCTAGATCAGCTACAATATTTATAGTAGGGTTGTTTTTTTGCATGAGCAAGTAAATGTCAAACAGTTTTACAAATTCAGGACATAAACACAGGGAATGGAATTGAACATCTTTACTGACTTCGTTCCACGGATGCTTGTTGATTAGAAACAAAACGGAGGCATTAGGGAGCTGGTGGCTGTGAACTGAAAACCTGCTTATCACTTAATAATACTGTTAGAATCAAGGACCAATGTAAACAATAGCTGCTGTTCTCTGTGAAGACTTAAACCACAAACCTTTTATGAGACCTGATCAATTATTGAGTGTTGCATATCAGACATGCTCGTTTATAAATTATATTATTCCTTCCAGGTTGTCATTTAACCATTTCTTTATCCTTTATCCTTCTCAGTATGAGCTTTAAAACAAAAATATATAAAGTAAGATCTATGCCCCAAATGGCACACCCTAAAACATTTTAAATGTAGGTTTTCATATGGACTTGTAAGTCACAAGGAATTGCATTACAGAAAGCACTATTACAGTATATAAAGTTCTTGGTCCAACTGTGAAATGTCCTGCTAATACATTAACTTGGTCACAGTTAGAAAAGATAAATAATTATGAGGAATCCATATCCCGAGTTATTCGTGCTTCAAAGATCAAGTATCTGTCAGATCTACTGTCCACTTAAGCCACCAAACAAGCCATACAGGCTTTAAATAATATTTTCTTATAGTTTTTTTAGATACTTCATAATTAACATAACATTGCTGGAGTTGATATCACAACTCTCACGTTATGACCCTTAAATAACTGGTAAAGCTGTTTTGAGAATCTACGCATATAAAGCTAATGTAGTAGCACACATATTTTCCAGTCTATTTGCTCCCCTCCCACATTAAATCCAAGGCAGCAACACAAAAGCGACATTGATGGAAGAATTACCCTCCTGCCAAGCTGCACTGACCCTTTATTGACCTAATACAGAAAGACTGCTGGCATTGTCCAAATTATGAACATTAAAATACAGTCATTAAATTATGTCAATATTCCTGCTGTGGTTAGTTATTATGTTGTTACGTTGCTTGCCCGGTACTAAAAGTACATTTAAATACTAAGAATGTGCTGTCCTAACCCTTTGCTACTTCAAAAGAACAAATAAATCAGATTTGTTTTATAAATGTTTTCAAATTTAAAGTGACAATCGTATTTCTGTCACTGAAAACCACTGAAACTATTTGTTGTTTTTTCCCTTGTCTTGTTACAGTATGATGAAAAAGCTTTATGAGCCAGAGGGCAAGTTCAGGCTGGAGATGGCCACAGCCCAGCCTGCACCCCCAACCCTGACCCGAGGCGAGTGGTCGAACAAAATTGAGTTCCTTCTGGCTGTTGCAGGACAAATCATAGGCTTAGGAAATGTGTGGAGGTTCCCTTACCTGTGCTACAAAAACGGAGGAGGTAAGTTTCATTGTCAAAGAATTAAGGAACAACACTTCTACTTTCTTTAAAAGTACATAGCAAGGATAAAACACAAACTGTTAAGAATAAATATTTAAGTTTGAAATATCCGACAGCGAGATCTTTATTTATTGCCATAATGTATGTCTGTGTTATAGTCAGAATTTCAATTTCCAAAAACGTATTTGGATCGTTCTATGCAGCTTTCTCTGTCCACATTCATTCATATTCCTAATGCTGTCACCAAAGAAAAGAAAAGTTCACTTATCTCATAATTATGATTTACTCTCTCATAACAAGAAAAAGATCCCACCTTTCTCTCCGTGTGGGGAATGCAATGTGCTCCAGACATCCTTGAAGTGCCCTGTTTCATTGGGTGTGATTAAGTTAAACAAATCACACCTGGCCACTCCAAAAAAAGTATTTGTTCAGAAACTTGTACTTGTACAGTTGTACAGCAACATAAAAAAACACAAAATAAAGACAAATCAAAAGAAACCTAAAGAAGAATTGTGTTGCATTTAGAAAAAAGACACTGTAAGTGGTTAACATACATTTAAAAACTTTTACTAATTTGATAACACACCTCTGACTAAGAGAAATACAGAAAATATGTGCATATTCAGACGAGTTGTCCAAACATGAACACTGCAGAGGAAAGTCAAAGCTGATATAAATACCCTGACTGCTAAACTGATGAGCAGACGTTGAATGTTTTAGATATTTGATATCTTTCAAAACTCTTAGCGTGATTCTTGTGGGTTACCCTATGAGTTTGAAATTCAAACATCTTATGCGGTGTAACTTTCCGTTTCCCCAAGGCGTGTTCTTCATCCCCTACATCCTCTTCCTCTTCACCTGCGGCATCCCCCTGTTTCTCTTGGAGACGTCTCTCGGCCAGTACACCAAACAGGGAAGCATTACATGCTGGAGGAAAATCTGTCCACTTTTTGAAGGTAAAGTTGGAGAATTACTATCAGAATCTCAATGTGAAATCAAATAAGTATTTTTAAAACATAAATATTTGTGTAAGTCAATAAACGACATGGCTCTTCTATAGTTGCAGTGAATTTAGGACAAAGCATTTGAAAAGCAATGTGACAGTTCAGACGACATTATCTGTCTATGTGCGGATGTAATAAGATGCAACATAATAAACTAATACAACTTTATTTATATAGCACCTTTCATGCAAGATGCAGCCCAAAGTGCTTTACAGAGTAAGACATGATACAACATAAAGAGTGAGGAACATAATTAAAAACAAGTTATAAACAAACAGAAAAGTTATATCACAACCATAAAACATGATCAATGATACAACTAAAATTACCCCAAATTAAAAAGATAGGTCTTTAATTCACTTCAGTTTGCTGTTCTAAGATCCAATGGGAGGCTATAGGAGCAATAATACCATATCATAGTTTATTAGTTTCTCAATATATTATACTTTTCTTCATAAGATGGGCAGTTATTACCAGAGTCGGGATCTTACGGTACATTCTATCACATGTTGTGTTTTGCACATTTTCTTTGGTGTGCTCACACTATTTCTAAAAATCATGTGATCACAACGATGTGACGTGTTAGTTAAAGGAAAACACTCTAAGACAAGAGCCTGCACATTAAAGAATGACAGATTCCTGGCAGAGGACTCTTCGGTGATTACACAGGAAAGTTGTTACTGGCATTTGTCGGTTAATTATTGCTTCTTGTGAGCTATTACACAAAGAGGGACAAGTTATACAAGTTGATGTGTCTCTATCTTATGTAAGAAAGCCGTCAAGTACACACATCTTTAGCAAATCTACAACAGTAGAAACAACTTGTACATCACTGAATGTTCTCTGGAATAACATTGTGTCATAATAATCATCGATATATCCCATTATGACTGTGACCCTTAAATTACAATATTAGAATATTTAATTAAATGTTGTATTAATCTTGTTTTTTGGTTTATATTTTTTTTAAATGTGAATTAATCACTGTAAAATGTGTAGTTTATTGTACATAGTAAATGCACTGTATTAACTGCAATATTTTTCTTTTTCCTTAAATGTTTATGATTCCATTGTTTTATATATTTGAATAAGTATAATTTCATATTATGTTATAAATTGGATTTCTTTTTATTGAAATTACAATTATCTTTACGCTTTATAATTTGTTTGTGTATCATTTTTGAAACTGGTCTTCTCTTAACGTTACCTACTTTCAAGAATTGAGCATGTGACTTAAAGACCTTTGCTGTTTGCCTTTCTGTTTGTTTGTTTGTTTGTTTGTTTATCTATTTGTTGTTGTGCTTTTTGTTTGTGTATGGCAGGTATGGGCATTGGCCATCAGGTGGTTGTTTTATACTCCAGCATCTATTACATCATCATATTGGCCTGGGCTTTCTTCTATCTCTTCTCCTCTTTCAACTCTGAGCTTCCCTGGGCCAGTTGCGGAAACAGCTGGAACACAGGTATGTGCTGGTATGTGATTTGACCGAAAAGAATGCATTGAATCAAACAAATAACTGGATTATGATGGACCTTTAGTAAAATAATTGCTGATTATTCCACTGTTTATTATGTTTAGTGTCTTGCTTTTGTTTTCTAGAGAGATGAATCTAATTTGTGGCTCATTGTAGCAACAGGTTTTGGATCTGAAGTTGAAATGTCACCTACTGGAAACATTTTAAATCTTGAGGTGCCAGTTTAACTCTGCCTGGCTTTGTAATACAATTCACGTTATGTTAAATACTTACATATCCCTACCAGACAGGTCTCTTGTGGGAAAAGTTTATTTTTAAATGTTTCACTTACACAAGACATCCTTTACTTCCCTGAAAAGTCCATACTCATTAAGTGAGTTCTGGAGCTTTACTTTTTCTTATTACACAGTAAATTACGCACAGGACCATGATTGGCTTCCAAACTAGAAACATAGAAAAATGTCTTCTTCAGGACTACAAATATCGTTAAATGGTCATACCTGTCTAGTACATGTATTTACTTCATTGATAGACTAGGCTATATGGAAAAGTCTACCATTCCACGGTTTTGACCAAGGCAGCATTTGATGATGTTTGTATTTGCAACAGAGACCTGTGTGGAGTTTGATCGAAAGGATGATTATTTGAACTGGACTGTAGCTGCAAATGCTACATCACCAGTGAGAGAGTTTTGGGAGTGAGTATGAAAACAAAATCCAAATATGGCAATAACTTCTTGACGTTTCTGAATTACAACTGAATATTTTATTTGCAGGAAGAGAGTCTTGAATATCACAGGAAGTGTCAATGAGTTAGGCAGCATACGATGGGAGCTGGCTCTGTGTCTTCTGTTGTCCTGGATCATCTGTTACTTTTGTGTCTGGAAAGGGGTAAAGTCAACTGGGAAGGTATGTGAAAGAACTGAGCATTTTGTATGTTGTATGTAAAGTACCATCAACTATTTAACTGTTTAACGACAATGCATTAGATCAAATTGTCCTCTTTACAGGAAGTGCAATCATACCTCTTTTACGGATACGGATACACTACCATTTCATTAAATATTGACAACATGATGTGCTCTTAAGAAGTTAATGATTGAACATAAATGTTTCCCGGAACAACAAGTAAATCAAAATGGAAAAGAGATATACTAGAGTGAGGAGATGACTACAAAGAAAATTACCAAAGATTATCTTTCGCAATTGAAACTGCTCTGTCATCGATTCTCTGAATGGAGAGTGCTTGATCCCTTGATTGAATAACTATTTTCCACAATCAAAATGTCACATTTAATCACTCTATTTTTCACATATTTTTCAGACTATTTGGGACTCAAAATATATGTCCGTCAACAATAGCATGGATCCTAAATGAGCGCTTCATATCTACACAGGGGACCTACTGTATGTCACGGAGTCCGTCATGTTGCACATTAGCCCAGACCACACGCCTGTTTTGTAAATGGCTTTCATGTTTTGACATTGCCTAAAAGCCACAAACTAACTTTCACTTTTCCACAGGTAGTGTATTTTACTGCCACATTTCCATATCTGATGCTGGTGGTACTGCTGGTGCGTGGACTTACGTTGCCAGGGGCCATAAATGGGATCAAGTTCTACCTCTACCCAGATCCATCCCGCCTCAGCGATCCACAGGTATGAACACGCTTCACCGCTTCTTTGTTTGGTGGATATGTGGCTCTTCTTAATCTACGGGTGATCCTATCCTTACAAACACACATTATCGGAACAAGCATTCATGAAAATTAAGATATTCCGGAGATAAAATCAGAAAACTAAAGCAAAGTGTGAAGCTTCCTTTTTTGTTTCATCATATTATTGCATACAACTTAATGAGAAAAACATAGGTATATATGAATTTATTTCAATACACATGCAAAAGAGAAGGGTAATCCGAGTTCGGGAGTTTGAACGGATTCGTTAATTATACACTGTTTGAAATGGCATCACAAGTTCCAATGTAACTGTTTTGGCAGATTATTGCTTTTCTGATGTCCCATATGTCTTCAGCAGTGTAAAAGATTAGCAAAACAAAGTGTTCAGCATACAGTGGATACTCAGAAACAGTAACTGCCTTTCATATGTAATTTATTGTAGGTGTCAACGTGTTCTTTTTTTGTCTTTCAGGTGTGGATGGATGCTGGCACACAAATATTTTATTCCTATGCTATTTGCATTGGGTGTCTTACTGCGCTTGGCAGTTATAACAAATATGACAACAATTGTTACAAGTAAGTTAAATAAAATGCCTTTTGTGTGTTTTTCCAGTGTGGGTACTGTTGATTCCCACCGAAATAAAGAAAACGTCTAACACTAAGTTGCCCAGGCAGCAGCTTCAGTAGCGCCAGTGATTTCAATAGCACAACGGTCTCTGGAGATATACAAGGCGTTTTGAGACGTTTGCCAGAACATCTGTAATGCCCATTTTAGGCAGCACATTTTGGAGTAGTTTACACAAAGGAAACACAGAGTGTGAAGTGAAGTTTCTTAAAAAATGCTTCTCAGGATTACGGAGCCATTCTATACCTTTACCAAGCCCTCTTAGGCCAGTTTAGGATGTGATGAGTGACCGTGTTATATGTAAATACATAGTAGGGCTGCACGATATTGGAAAAAACTGACATTGCGTTTTTTTTTCCCCCTGCGATATATATTGCTATATGAAAACATACAGGAATTGAAGAAAAGACAGTTGTTTTTTTCCACAAACCATCCTTTCTTGAACTTTAATGCTATACAATTGGTATTTTTTAAACTACATTTAACAGGATGAAGGATTTTAGTCACGGACGTGGATCTTAAATTATCAGAGCAACAAGCTGAGCTAGCTCGGTTAGCAGCGCCGAACTGCCCTGGAGAAACACATGAAACTACTTTATTCAGTGTTTTTACCTTTAATCACTGGGTCTGTTTGCTTTGGAGATTTGATTGTGATTGTGGTTTGCTGTGCAGAGCCTGCATGTCACTCACTCAAGTACCCCTGACATGAGAGCCGCGCAAGTTTTCCTTTTGTAGCAAGCAGCAAAATAATTGCAACATGACGTGTTTGAGTTAATTTGCCTACTTAAAGAGCCTGTGACACGAACCCAACAACTGTTGTGCAATGAAATAGTGGGCTACTAGTAATCTCGAACCGTCAGTTTAAAAAAGAAAAAGCGATACCGTTCCGATAAATATCAATAATTTCGAACATCGCGGGAAAATTCTTTCGACTCATTTTGAGGTTTTGGGGGAAGCCGGAAGTGACGTCAATGCGGGAACGCTTCACTGTGCGGCGAGAGAGCCAAACACGGACAAAGTGTGTTGTCATGCGTAGAAATGGTGAATTACTGAGTTTAGGCACGTTAATAACGTTTTAATGAAGTTGACTACAGTATATTCATATTTGTCAGTGCTTTCATGTCAATTCGGGGAACATAAACATAAATGATCGTGGTGAAGATGATGATTAAATTAGGATTAAAAATCGGTAGTGAGAGCTGCTGAATTTCCTCC